AAGGGGAAAAGAAGAACAAATTCATAGTAATTTTAGACAAGACTAGTAATGCAGTCTGCCTTAGGTAAACGCTTAAGGGGTGATAGCATCTTTCCTTTTGCGTAACCAGTCTTATATCATAAAATCTCTATTAACTAGTTAGGGTTTCTAGTGACTATAATACTATGTGGCGACTCCTTAAACAAAATCTTATCTCTTAAAAGAACAAGATGTCAAGTATATGTTCTTTTTCAAATGAGATATAATTTTTAAATGGTTACCACAATGTCTAGTGTGACATTCCTTACCAAAAATTCATTTTTAGAGTTACATTAAAGACCATGTACAATAACTATTGTAGTAGCCTTCTCAAACTCTGACTTAAAATTCAACATCATGTTACTATTCTTGACAACAACTATGATGCTTTTTTTTGGCAATATTCCTTGGTTGGCAACATCATATCCACTTTCAAGTTCTTTAAGCATCAATTTTTTATATTTGATTGTTATCAATGAATAATAGGTTGGTCCACATATTTTTTTATAGCTGGAATTTTTCAATACTTTAAAATAATCTTTTCAAGTATCAAATAATTGTCCACTTTTATTGAGACAATCCTTGTGAATCCTGATTTAAAGAATTTTTAGGATTCTGTAATCCTCAAACTCAATGACATGTTGAGCTTCTTTCTAATCAAACCTTGTTGGCTGATTCCAATCCACACAAGAAGTAGAATAATCAAAATTTTCAATTTCAATATGATATTTATCCTAATTAAGAAGCTACCTCCTTTGCATATGAAAAAAAGCTTTTCATGACTAAACATGAATATGTGATTACTCTTTTCGCTATCCTCTAAAATTATCTTAATCATAAGCACTAATCAATTAGATAATTCTTCAACTTGAATTGCATGTTTATTACCTTCGGTCAACAAATTAATTTTATAATTTGTCTTTACATGTCATCTATTACCAACTCTTGAACTTTTCTCTCCCGAGAATAACCTCTCCATCTCCTCTAACCTGAAAATACTATGCTTTATAATCTCTTCTAGCCATGGTTATATATTAGCACACAATAAACAAAATAATTTTGAATTGCACCATATAACAAGCAATAACTTCGGATTGTTAGGCTCTGATACCAACTGATGCACGTAAAAACAATACAATAAAAAAGAAAGAAAAGGCAATATGAAATTTCGTTGAATATGGTCACGTCATAAATCCTAATTCAAGATTTTATTACTGAATATTTCACTAAACAAATATTCTAATAAAAAGATCTTTATTACTGCTCTTTTAGTCTGCTTAGATAATCATAAAAGTCCTAAAAAATACTGGAAAAAATTAATAAGAGCTTTATAGAAAAAAAATCATAAATTAAATAAAACAATATAGCAAATCCTAGTAAATTTTATTCTTATTTGAAAACCTCCTTGAACTTTGATTTCTATGAAAATTAAACCCTAAATAAAACATGTCCTTTGAAATCTTCTAGCAAAATCAGAACCCAAAATTTACCAAAACCAACAAAGAAATCCAAGAATTAAAAAACATTGCAAAAACCATCTTAAATAAAACTAGAAAAAAATGGTTTTAAACTAAATAGAAAATGAATCTTACATCAATTAGGAAAATATTGCAAAATTCCAAAAAAAACTGTTTGGAATTATTTGAAGGATTTCCTAACCTCTGATTGCTATGAAATACTAACCATATAGAAATCAAGGCCTCTAAAATCTCCTAGCTAAATTTTAGTTTGATATAATAGTTAGATCAAACATTAAACCTAATAACATAAAACTACTCTTTAGAAAACAATTTCTTATATTAGTTGTCTAAGTAAGTTGGAAAGAACTCATTGTTGAGTTTAAATTAATTGCTTTTGCCCCAATCTCATGGTTGTCCAATTAATTTTTTTTTAACTTTTTACATGTTCATCCTTTTTGTTAGAAACATCATATCTTTTAACAACATGCTCATCTTCCTTATAAAAAAAATAATTTTTAGAGTTACATTAAAGATCATGTACAACAACTATTGTAATAGCCTTTTTAAACTCTAACTTAAAATTCAACATAACATTACTATCCTTGACAACACCTATGATGTTTTCTTTTGGTGATGCACCTTAATTGGTAACATCAAATCCACCTTCAAGTTTTTTAAGCATCAACTTTTAATACTTGATTGTTGTTAATAAACAGTAAGTTGGTTTATACATTTTTTGTAACTGGAATTTTCCAATACTTATACTTGTGAATATAAAACCATATGTTAGAAAAAAAAATCTTATACATCACTTACCATGCTAAAATGTTAGGAGAATTATTAGGGTGATTTTTCCATTTAAATTTATGAGATCAACAAAATATATGAAGATATATAAAAGGTAAATAATCTTAATTGTTAAAATTAAAAATAAAAAAAATTGATAAAGAAATTTAACTCTAAAATTTATTAGTGTCACATCATCACTAACTTGCCCACATTATCACTTAATATTTGTCATAATTGTCACCTCATCACTTAAATAATAACTTAACAAAATTTTCATATTATACATGCCACCTTTCCAAATTTTCCTTAGGCTCATATCTATTTGAAAACGAATAAATTTTGATACACTCAATTATACAAATTCTTAAAGTGCACACATATAATCTTATCATTTCATTTACCAATTATTACCTATTTTATAAGTTTGCATAGAGTCTTATTTTAATAAGATTGTTTGTAAATCATTTTTCATGACTAAATAGATTTAGACTACAACTCAACTGCAAAACTTTTGAAAGTGCACATGCTCAAATAGAATAAATTATAAAAAAAAGAGGCTCAACTAAAAATTTTCAATACTATATTAATTAAGCATGAGTTCTCTCATGGAACATGTCACTCCTAGTCAACAACCATGGCTTCCGAGACCCTACTAGCATCCTCCAAATAGATGTATTTATGAATCAATTGGACATATCTAGGTCTAAAAAGAGATCTAGTCGCTTAGAAAGGGCCATAATTTAACTATTGGATTGTACTTAAATTTTTATAAGAGTTTTCAGAGGTTGTTTTCCCTATAACAATGACCACATTGCTATACAGACCATCAAATCTTCAGATATAAAAATCTCATCGAGGCCCTTGGTTTTGATAGTTTTTGTGATTTTTCATTGTTATTTTTGGATTTCATGTTATGTTTGGATTTTGTGTTTCTTTCATTTCTATTTAAGATTTTTATTTTTTGTTCCTGATTAAGGTAGTATCTATTTAAAGTTTTGTAAACATTCTAAAATGAAAATTATTATTATTATTATTATTATTTAAAGAGAATAAGCTTGTGAATTGGCATTACTAGAAATTTTACTAAAACCAATGAAATTATCGAGGGACCTTTTTTGTTGGTAATTTGCGGTAATATTTACCGATGGATGTAAATCAGTTAGTAAAACCATCGATATATATGTTGTGAGCATATGTTTGCAGCTAGTTTCTTTAGGAGCGAAGATGACTTGTCCTTAGGTGCCGATCAGAAAGAGGCATCTACGCCGACTCGTGATGCTGCCTCTTCTAGCGTGGTTCCATAGTGCAGAGGTGGTGTGGCTTAATGGAAAGGTCAATTCACCCGCAAATGCGAGGCACATTGGAATGATGACCTTTCAATGTAAGTTTGTTTTGGTTAGTGTTTTTTTTTATAACATAATTTGTGAACAACTAATTAAAATTTCATTAATTTTATTTATTTTTATATTCACAAACATTAGGGTCGCCTGAGTAATAACATCGACGTTTAAATCATTGATGGAGATTCTATTATTTCAATGGAGTTATGTTTTCAAACATCTTGATTGGAGGAGGCCTTATATCGATGTATGGTTTTGAAGATTTGAGATTGGTGTAAATTTTTAATTTTAATTATTTTTATTTGAAAAAATTATTTATACATGGAACAAATTCGAGTGAGATAACATATATGACAATATTGCGAGGAGGGTGTGAGATAATCACGCAACAACTAGGTAACATCGAAAATAGTACTATATTTTTGTAAAAAAAATATGTTTTAAAATATAATATGTCATTAACTCATAAAATTCTTTGATGGAAGTCGGTTGCTTGATTTTCGGTAAGAAGTGCAGAAAAAATTAAAAAAATACATCATAAATAACAATCTACAAGGCTGGAATGACGTGACGTGGTTTGGAGGGATTTCAGGTAGCCATACATCCCGGGGGATATATGGTCGCAATATATCTAGCATGTGATGTCTGAGCGGATCACATAACGCCCACAGTCTATTGCCAACAACCAGAATTAGCAAATTCATGGTTTGGTGACAATTCACACCAGCGGCTTTGTTTTGTTCACTGCACATGCAAAATAGATGGTAAGATTAATTTTAATGAAATCTATCATTAATTAATTTATTTTTATTTATAAATATATTTAACTTGTAACATTTTTTTCTTACAAGCGATGTTTCTTGGATGTGAGCCGAGCCTAATAAAGTTGTTTGTGGAGACATATGTGCTGAGTGAAGAGCGT